TAGAATGAGTTTGGGAGTATTCCATCCTTCTCTATGCTCTGAAATACGTTTAGTAGTAGTGGTGTTAACTCTTCTCTCAAAGTTTGGTAGAATTTTCCAGTGAAGCCATGTGGGCCAGGGCTTTTTTTGGTGGGGAGTTTTTTAATTACCTTTTCAATGTCGTCTTTTGTTATTGGTTTATTTAGTTGTTCTACCTCTGTGTTAGTTTAGGTAGGTAGTGAGTTTCTACGAATTTGTCCATTTCCTCTGGGTTTTCAAATTTGTTAGAGTACAATTTTTAATAGTATTCTGTCATGATTCTTTTAATTTCAGTTGGGTCTGTTGTGATTATCACCCATCTCATAGCTTATACAGGTTATTTGCTTCCTCTCCTGTTTTTCTTTTGTCAGTTTGACCAATGGTTTATCAATTATGTTGATCTTTTCAAATAACCAGCTTTTGGTCTTCTTAACTCTTTCAATTGTTTTTCTATTCTCAATTTCATTTAACTTGCCAAGAGGTTTTTACTCTGCATACCACACTGTGAGGTCCGGGGAGAAGGGCCAGAAGAGCATAAGGTGTCTACAGGAGGGGTTTGGCAGGGAAGAAGAGCTGTGGGTGCTGCAGTCTTGCTTCCCTGTGGGGTGAGGCATGGGGAGTGGAGGCTGGGCGTGCCTCCTTTGGACTCCAGTCCTGGTGCCCACCTCCAACCCCCACCCCCCACTCACACTGGAGTCCTCAGCAGTCCTGAAACTGCATGGCCTGCTCAAGTCCATGTCAGGAGAGATGCTTAGTGGAGGGAAAAGGCCAGCCCAGGCTGACCACTATTGTTCTGAGTTCTTCCTGGGGCTGTGCCTTCCTTGGTGGGAAGAGGGCACAGCCGAGGCAGGGAGGAACCTGGGGCTGGAGAAGCTGCCTTTGCCTGTCAGAGCCTGCCCAGCCTCTTTAGCTTCCAGGTCAGGGGTCTCTTGCTATACCCTCAGTACAGGGGACACTGGGTTAGGCTCAAAGCTCATCGGGGGGGCTATGTGTGAGTGGGGATGCCTTCTGGATGCCCTCCTCCTCAGGGCCAGGGTCTCCCTCGAGGCCACTCAGCTCCTTCCTCTGTTTGCTGCTGCCGCTCCTGCTGCCCAAGGCCTTGGCCTTGCTGCCCTTCTTCTTGGACTTCTTCCCTCCCAGGGCGGCCGTGTCCCCCTTCTTGCCCGACCACTGCTCTGCCAGGCAACCTGGGGTGAGGAGAGAGGATTCTTCAATAGAGGCACCTCAGGAGTGGCTTCCTGGGTGAGAACACTGACTGGAGAGCAACTGGAATTGGCACCTGCCTCCTCCCTCACTGTGGCCACCAGGCCCCCTGGGGGCATCTTTGTGATCCACATGCTGTTCTGCACCTGCTTCCAGTGCCTCTTACCTCACCACGTCCATCAAGCTCCTCAAGGGCAGAGATCCTATGACGCGCTCAATTTCCTTTCCATCCTCTCCCTACCCACCTCCCCTGAGGGGGAGCAAACCATAAAATCCTCTAGGACCACACACCTGCCCTCTCCCTCCCCTTAGACTCACTGGTGTCCTTTCCCTTGAGAACATGGTTGGCACACAGGAACTCCGTCAGGTCCTCCTCCTGGTGGTTCCTGTACCAGTCCTCGATCACCTCCTCAAACTCCTCCACCAGCACGTCACACTGTTAATCACAATGTCTTGCATTGGCAAAGCCCAAGCACCGGGCTGCCTCACAGATGAGCTCACTGGGCCCCACGACCCACTGCAAGATGGCAGGTGGCTGTGGTTCTCCTAAGGGCACTGAAGCCAGGGAGGTGAAATGTCCTGATCAGTCACCCCGCTCTTGGTGGCCGTCCTCAGGCACAGACCCAATCTCCACCCAGCCCCGAGAGCTGAAGGGCCTGTACCTGCTTCTTGAGGTCAGCCACCTCTGCCGAGGTCTCATTCCACAGCTCGTAGGGGATGTCCATCACCACCTTGACTCCTTTGTGCACCAGGTTGTGGAGCGTCTCAAAGGTCTCTGACATGCCCTGGAAGAGGTGGCTAGACATGAGAGGCAGGACCACCTTTTCTACATCTCTCCCTCCTCTCCTGGTGGGGATGGAAGCCCGAAGACCTAGCTCTGAGAAGTAAGGACCCTCTAAGGCTTCTCATGCTTGATCTTACCTTTCGCTCTCTCCGCTTTTAAGCCTGCCTTCCACAACCCCTACACACACACACACCCCACACACACACCCACACACACACCCACACACACCCACACACACACCCTACTTCCCCAGGTCTCATTTTAAAGAGATCTGCTATTGCCCTACCTTTAGCCTTTTCCAGGAAATAAAGTTAGTCCTGGCCCTTTCCCTCCCTGTGGTTGGGCACAGTCACTTCCCTACATCCAGGCCCATGCCCCACTCTGATTTCTTCCTAGAGCTTGTGTCTTTCCTTGGTGAGAAGAAGGCACGGCAGAGGCAGGGAAGACCCTTTATTCTGTTAAAAATCTCTCCTAGCTATCCAGGTCTTCTCAAAGACAACATACTATTTCCTTTATCTTTCTAGAGTTAATTCATATAAATACAAGGAAATATACACATACAAATATATTCATCCTTTTTACACTTTTTACATAATCAACAGTGTATCACACACACGATTCTGCACCTCGCTTTTTTTACATAACAATGTATCTGGAGATAATTTCAGTTCAGTTCATAAAGAGCTACCTCATTCTTTTTTTATAGCTGCATAATATTCCATCAAATGGTTATATCCATTTATTTAACTACTCCCCTACTGATGAAAATTTAGGTTGTTTCTAATCTTTTGCTGTGGAAAGTAATTTTAAACATTTTTATATGTTTCAACCATGAGTTTATTACCAAGTAAAGCATAAAATTCACACAAATTTTAAAGATAAAACCTAAGACTTATGCTGTTTAGGATTATATCCTGAGGTCTCCTAGGGATTTATGACCAATTTCCTTTGCCAAAGGGGTACTTGGTGGAAAAATGTAAAGGCAACACTCCTACTATGTGCCAGGTACAGAAGCCTCTGTGCAGAGTTAGTGTACTACAAGGGACACGGGCACACTGTGGAGTCCAGGTACCAGCCATGTGGGCCCAGAGGAGGGAACGGGCAATCACCACCCACCAAGTGTCTTCTGACATCCCCTAAGCCCCCGTGCTTCTTCACATCCTGGACCTTGCTCAGTTCTCCTTGCTCACATGCTTCAGGCCCCTAGGGAGACTGAGGCAGGACCCTGATGGGCAGGCCCAGGTCATGATGGACGTTCCTACTGCCAATGAAAACTCAGGCCACCTAGGATGGAAGGTTAAGCAATGTGCAAACAGTCATCAATAAGCAATGAGAAGGGGCTAAGAAAAGCACCTCCCAAGGTGTGGTCTTCAAATCTCCCCCAAACCAAGCAGACACACTTACATATAGGAAGGCCTGACCCCAGAGGGGATGAAGGACAAGCACAAACCCAACCTTGGCGAACCGGTTGCTGCCGGTCCTCTCCTTGTGCAGGCTGTAGTCCAGGAGCCTCTTGCAGATGGTTTCAGTGACTTCGATTAACCGTAAGTCCCTGCCAAGACAGCAGCACAAGAGGAACTGAGCTCCTCCCTCCTAGCCCCAGTGGGTTAGCTGTCTGTCCCTCCAGCCCTGCTGCCCCAACACCTGCGCATCTCACCAACGGGAAGTCAGAGCTGTAAGGAAGATAGCTCATCTGGTCTGGGGGCTCTGAATGCTGGAACACAGACCAGAGAGACAAAATTTTAACGGGTCTAAGGCAAAATAATGAAAATAAGGAATTTTATAAAGTTAACTGAGCCTGTATTTATATTTTTTAATAAAAGAAAATGTATTCAAATTTGATGTTAAAATATTATTTCGTTATAGCTGATGGAAGATTTGTTGATTTTTGGATTTTAAAAAATATTTATACCAGGCAAAATAAAAAGCTGGTAATCCTATGTCACCAACACTGAAAAAGAAAATGCATTGGTCCATGAAATCCAAGAGTCTGGGAATCACTGCTCTAGTCCAGTGACTTGCTTTTACAGATGAGAACTTGAAGCCCAGAAGAATTAAGGGATTATGTAGGTCACACAACTAGGTTGGGGCAGAACCAGCTCTGTTAGAGCTGCCTCCCTTGTGGTGGTAGATTTGTCTGGCTGGAAGAGAGAAGGAAATGTCAAGCCCCCGAGGCTTCCAGGAACAAAGCAGGCCAAGCTATAATGAGGCCCCATTACTTACGATTTGGTGTATTTGACTCCAGAGGCCTTCCGGTCCAGGATGCCATAGCCCGTGTCAATCACCTCCTTGGTCTTGCCGGTTTCCTCAAAGGCGGACTTCAGCTCCACAGCAACATATTTACACACTGGGGGAAGAGAGGCCCAGCACAGCCCATGAGTGCTCCTGGGCCCTTGACAGGGACACAAACCCACTGCTGATGAGTTGATTCCAACTCAGCGACTCTACAGGACAGAGTAGAACTGTCCCATAGGGTTTCCAAGGCTGTAATCTTTATGGAAGCAGACTGTCATATCTTTGTCCCACGGAACAGCTGGTAGGTTCAAACTACTGATGTTTTGGTTAGCAGCTGAGTGCTTACCCATGCACCACCAGGGCTCCTTGACAGGGACCAGCTCCCAGCAAAACAGACCCAGGCAGGCATCCTCTCCCAGACGGGGTCAACACCCAGGGCAGGGAAGGAGTTAGTTCACTTTGTGAAACTGTGGCTCCCAGATCCACTGCCCCATTGCTACTCTTGGCCCTTATCCTACTATTTCCTTTTTCCTCCATCATTTTACTTGGAAAATTTCCAAACATACAGAAAAGCTGAACAGTGAATAACTATGCATCTTCCACTTGTATTCAACAATTGTTACTGATGTCCCACAACCTCTTTCCAATAAACAATATATACATTGTTTCTGCTAAACCATTTTGGAATTAAGTTATAGATACCATGACCTTTCACTCTTAAAATATGTCATCATGCACCTCCTGAGAACAATGATTTCCTATGTAACCATAATACAATATGATACTCAGAAAATAAACAATAATTCCAATATCTTATAGTACTCAGTCCATATTCAAAGTTCCCCAGTTGTCCCCAAAATGTCTTGTATGGCTGTTATATTACTTGATTTCACATTATTGTTCCAATACCAACTCACTATTCCTACCAATTTGCTCCATATCCCCTCCAGAGGCTTGTTCCTACCACTTCTGTACATTTATTTTCTCATTTCTCCTTACCCTTCCTCAAAGTTATTAAGCAACTCCAACGTGTCAGGCACCACCTGGGGATACAGAGATAAAAACAAGGGTTTCTCTCTTCCAGACACTCACTCTAAAGGAGTAGAAACAGGGACGGATACCGAGTAAGCAAGGTAAGCACATGCTTAGAGCATCAACAAAACAGGGGCACCAGCTGTCCAAAGCAAAGACCCACAGATGCCAAGCAGACAGGACACAAGGAAAAGCAAGAGCCACAATGGAAGGGAACTGGAAGGGCACTAATCAAACTGATACCAGCTCCAGTGTGTGAGAATGTGCTAGCCAGAAATAAAGTTCACACTGGGTCACAAGCGCATCTACATGCAAGGTTAAGCTATAAGGTCCCTACCACTTCAACACCTACGCTGACATCTGTCTCCTACCATCCCCTCCCGTGTAATTGAAACTTCTTATCTGATCAGGTCTCTTGGGAGTATACTATTTCTTGCTAATAAACAAGAGGTGGGGGTGAGCCAGCAAGTCTAACTCTTGCTACATTCACCCAATATGCAACTGGATCCAGCATGAGCGGTTACTGGGCAAGGATGGATTATATTAATAAACAGCAGCTCTCTGATCCATTTTGAGAGAACCGTCTTGTACATCCACATCTGCTGACCCAGCAACTCCGGCCAAGAGGGCCAGCAATGCTCTTTGCCATGATACAAACTCAAGGATATACTCGTCATGGTAAACAACCAACAGGAACTCCAATCCCAGATGACACGCAAAAGCAAGGGAACTTACTCGAATTAAGTCGACCACTGCAATGAATTCAATCAAGTTACTTTTTAACTGTATAGCATTTACGTAGAGTTATGTCCTAAGTTTTGTAAACGATAACATTTGTAACTTTAACTTTAAAATATGTTTGGCACACATTTAATATAATATTAACATGGGAAATAATACTAAGGTAGCAAACATCCAAAAAATACTGGAAATATTAATATTTATTTAACATGAAAAGTTTTAATTTACGTATCAAGTGAGTTTTGTTTTTTATTGACTGTTGTGTGGGACGCAGTGCTTGATATTACTCTATATATGCTAACAAACGGTATTAAGCACATTAAGAGGATGCAAAATTCAATATTTATTTATCGTGGAAAATATGCTTCTGTTTTGCAACAACGAGTGTGTTTCTAAATTTGTCTACCAACAAAGCAACAAAGGGTGTTTATCAGAACATTACATTTATATTTTATCAGAATATTTACATATCTCCACGTAAGGAAATTGAACAACTCCTCAAGGAAATAAATTAAATGAATATTTCGATAACAAACATGAATGTATTTTATGTTCCATTTCCCTTCAGACTAATTTTCTTTTAAGAGACTGACTGATATTGTTATGACTCGAAAAACAAACTTGCTTGTTGAGAAGTGGTGCTACTGTTAGACATCAATTATGTATGTATCTCTGAATATGGGAGTTGAACAATTCCACAAAGAAAATGTAGATTTTACAAATTTTGTATACAATAACAATTATACTTTCCTTTCCATTTTGGACCAATCGGATATAACCTCACAGTCAGTTCTCTCTCACTGACCACATAAGAACGCGCCAGCGGCACTATAATCATGGGATTCGTGACATATCTGGTCCTGTCCTGCGCAAAGCAAACCAAAATGCATCTTCAGATTGAGTATACCCTTGTATTTGTATCATGCTCTTTGCAATCCTACTCGCCCCCAACGGTATCAGCAGTAGTCCAATGAACTTTGAAGACACAGCATCAACAGACGGAAAGTGACTGTGTAAGTTTTAAAGTATTATTTCAAGACCAAAAACACTTGTGGAGATCTGTGAAGGGCCCACCAGCAGACATCACAGGACAGACAAAGGAAATTATTTCTGGCTGCCTTGTAAGTACTATTTCTTCTATCTCAGACCTGAAGACCAAAATGCTATGTTCCAAATCATTTTTTTAACTTACTAATTTTCATATATAAATGTTTATGTTAATGTCCAAATTCAAATGTAAATTTTATTTGATAAATTTTATTTATTTTCGATTATTCAAATCTGCTATGGTAGAACCAAACTTAAAAACTGACATAATTTTATATTCTGGTAAAATGAAATTGAAATAACTAAACTGAGTGCAAAAACGAAAGCTCGCAGAAGACGAAAAGAATTTGTGAATCACTAAAGACAATTCTAAAGTTAACTTTCTTTCTAAAACCTAATGAATCAGGAGAGACTTCTTCTATTGAACAGTCGAGTTTAACGGGTACAAACTGTTGTACTAGTATCACTAGTGCTGAAATTACTAACAGCGATATAATGGAATTTGTTCCAAATTCTGCATCCACTGCTCGTTGTAATAAAAAAAATAGTGTAGAAAGAGAAACTATTTTACAATCTGAAACTGTCACATCGGCAGACCCCATAAATAACAGAAACACAGATCCTGCTTTGTGGAATAATTTTCTTCTAATGATGTAAATTATTGGATCAAAAGAGGGCCAAGTGACTGTCAACATCACAGTGGATCATTTGAAAATTTGTGTCAAAAATTTCTGGATAGTAAACAAACAAGATTCTGTATCCAAAGTATACTTTTAGGGTACAAAGTTAATGGTGAAAATTGTAACAGGGAATGGCTATTGTATTCTCATCAGTTGGCTCTATGTATTGTTTTGTTTGTAAATTATTCAGTCCTAAATCATTTTTCAATTCGCTATGGATGGATTTAGCAATTGGCACAATCTAAATATGACTGATAAACATGGAAACGGTTCAATTCACTGAGATTGTATGTTATCATATTTAAACTGGAGACATGGTTTTGCTTAACTCATGAACTGGAAACACAAATTAATGAGTAACATCAGTAATGCAAAGCCATTCTGCAATGTATTGTTGCTGTCATTAACAATCGCTGAACGTGCACTATCTTTTCAAGGAAGAAATGAAGTGCTTGGGTTCCCACAAAATGGAAATTTTTGGGGTTTACTTCAACTTGTTGCTCAGTTTGATCCATGTTTAGCAGGTCACATCTCAAAATATGGTAACACAGGAAAGGGCAACCCATGGTGTATGTCTAAAACATGTGTGAAGAATAAACTTACTAAGTGATAGAGTTCAATCAACTATTTTCGGTGAAATAAGTATAACTCGATATATCAGTTTGTCTATAGATTCCACTCACACAGATTGGCTAAGTATTGTTTTAAGATACTTCTCTCTCCAACAGATGGAAAACCTGTCAAGCGATTTATCACATTTACTAGCTTAAAAAGTCATACTCGTCAAGAAATTGCAAATCAAGTACTTCACTGTTTAGGTGAAGTTTGCAAAATTGATTTTTCTAAGTGCAGAGGTCAGTCCTATGACAATGCTGCCAATACGTCAGGGTGTTATAAAGGCATGCAACAGACAATTTTAGAACGTAATCAATATGCCATTTTTATACCATGTGCAGCACATTTGCTTAAACTTGTAGGACATACATAGTACAGTAGATTGCTATCCAGAGCAGCTGATTTTTTTTCTACTGTTCAGTTACCCTACACATTTTTTGCCATCTCTACTCAACGATGGGCAGTTCTTAAAACATTTTTAGGCAATGATCAAGTATTAAAATGTCTTTCTAATACACGTCAGAAAGCACATGCTGTAGCAACGAGTGTAATCCTGGACTTGTACACTCAGATTCTAGGTACCTTAGAAAATATTGCTGAAGACCAGACACAAAAAGGAGATACCAAAAGAGAAGCTGAAAACATCATCAATAAAATACAAACACTAGAGTATGCGTTTATGTTAGTTATGTGGAACAATATATAAACCGATGAGTCAAGCTCTCCAAGATTCATCAGTAAATTTAAAGACATGCACAGATCTCTACCAATCATTAACAGGGTATTTATATAATCTAAGAGAAGATTTTTGAAAAATTTGAAAATACAACAAAACAAATACTACCAAGTACTGATAATTAAGCAGCTCACTGTCACAGAAGCCTTAGAAAGAAACAAGTAAATGATGGAAGTGCTCCAGAAGTACTGAGTGTCAGAGATCAAGTTCATGTAATCACACACTACACCATCATTGACATGCTTGAATCTTGTGTGAAAA